AATGACGAATCGATCCAGACACAAAGTAGGTAAAGCTTGATGTCGAAAGTGGGAGTATATACCGACATTCTAGTTCCATAATATACAATGAATCAGATGTGGTCCTCTTCAGCTCCAGGTCCCATCTATCGTCTTCGTAGTCTTCGTATTCATCAATATATTGCCTTCCTATTTCTTCATAGTACTATCAAAGTTACTATCTATCATTATGCACACCTGAATCCCAGTAATGCCACGAGGGAACAATATCACGACTTTCTCCACGGTACTGTAAGCACCTTCCGGAAGCGCTGGGGATTTGCTAGTAAGGGTGGCACGGTGAAGAATTTAAGTTACTGGGTTACTGGGTACGACAAGAGATGGATGAGGAATAGTTCGTGAAGAGAAAAAGAATGAGGAAGGGCGGCGACATCGGAGTTTCCTGTTCTAAATGGGAAAAAATGGTTGGGAGATCTATTTGGAAATGTCTCCGGCGGTGGTACGGATTAGTGGTAGAAGGGGGATTGAATTGGGAGATAAGTGGCATGATTATCATTTTGTATGGTGTGCCGATACCAATACAAACGAGATCTGCGAGTGATGATCGAGAAGAGATTGCAAAACTTACTGATATACACATACGGAGTAGTAATCTTACATGCGAGTAGATGATTGATGCTGAAAAGAAAACGTGGGATGGCGGTTGTGATTTTAGTCGTCAATATGATTGTGACAGTGATTTAAGGCTTGAGGGAAGGGGAATTGGCAATATTGGCAATTGATAGGAAATGGATAATTTCATTCCACTTCCAAGCAATTATCATTTCAAGCCGTTTGTAGTATGAACGAATGATATGCCAGAGAAAGTTGCAACCTAGAAGTCTTGTTCATCTTCTTGTCACTTCTCTCTCATCATCACGGGAAGACACATACATACATCGATACCAACCCGTTCACCGATATGATACGATATGAATATTATCATTTTCTCGGGGATTATTTACCCTTGAATTGTAGCTTTAACTAATTATCTGGTATGTAAGACTACCTACCTATTATCATTCTCGTCTACCAAATGTATTTGAACTTTCTACTACCTACCTGTATATAATTATCTTACTCCTTTATCAGCTACTCGAGCATCATTTCTACCTCGCTTGACTCTTGAGGTAAGGTTTAGTAATATGCAGCAGCTTGGAGATGCTTAAGGGTTTCTTTTGTCATCGTCAGCTCCAAGAAATTTCAATTCGTAATTCGTCATACAGTACCGGTAAACTAACTACCTATTTATTTACCTTACTATCTAGTACTATCTCGATAAATTAGTACTATGTAACTATCTCGATAAATTTCTTACATTTGTTTGATTTCTCCACTAATTATCTTCTACATACAACACATACATTACATACATTACATATCATAATAACCTTTTTCTTCCTTCATAATCTCATCTAACCTCATCTCATACATCTTCGAGAGCTACCTAGGTAGGTAGACTATCTATCCTATCTTGCTAACCCTGCCACCCTGCCACCTTGGCTGCCGTCTCGACTCTTAACCTATGAAATCGGCTAAAAAAATTTAGATCGCATAAATTAAGCTTTCTCATCTGGTGCATTGAAACAGTAACGGACGAATATCCCGACATCAATCTGAAATAGGAAGCTCATCAACCCATTCATACAAACAATATACACCACTTCCGCCGTAATTATAGTGAGTAACCGTCAGTCCAATTCAAGAAACTTGATCATTTCTAATTGATCATTTAGCCTTTGCTTTCCTAAATCTATCATAGCTCACGAAAGATAGGAATGTTTGATGCTTGCGAGCATTATCAAATGATCAGTCAGGATATCATCATCGAATAAGGGTCAGACGTTAAGAAAAACATTTTCAAAAGCACATTTGACATCTCATCATATCCAACCATATCTTCTTGCACAATCTACAAGATTGCAACGAGTCTATTTTGGTGTGGTCATAAGGACATAAACCTTCCTCTTTTCTCTTTAAAACCCATTCCACCTGCCAAGTTAGAGGTCCTGCTCGATAAAGAAGAGCAAACGAGTTTCCTTTTGTTTTAACAAAGAGTCGATCAAATGGAGAACAGCGACAAATATTTGCATGGTCGATTGGATCCTGGTATCGAATCGACTTTGCAGTTGGTCGAGGGAGTGGAAAGTCCGGACATGAGTAAATTCTTTTCTTCCCAGGAAGCACCGTCCCCCAAATCATCTCAACCAAAAAATGCCGTATTCCAGGGTATGTACTTTTCTCTGTTGCATTGTATTTGCTTGGTGTTCTTGGCTTTCGAGCTGCATCTTTCCTTTGACAGAAATGACCAGGTCCTCCAATTTAAGCATGGATCGTCATTACGGTACCAATTTTGAAGAATGACAGCTGATAGTGATACTTTCCAACTTTAGCTATCAGATCTTCTAATGGAACTCAACTCAACTTAACTCACCTTCCGGTTGAGCTTCTTCGTCAAATTGCTTCATATCTTTCGCCCTGCGACTTGACGAAATTAGGCAAATCATGCAAAACATTATTTGAAGTGGCAAAAACTGATTCCCTTTGGCGACGCCTCGTACAAGAGAACGTTCCCGGTATCGACCTTGATTCTCCTGCCCCATGTCAGTCTTTTAAGGAGCTTTATAAATCTCATGATCCTCATTGGTTCCTTACGAAGAACAAGCTATGGTTCAGCGATTCTCGGAATTACGGGCAAATATTGATTTCCAAATACCACCCCGAGACTGGTTCTATCCGATTATACAGGCTCGTAACAGAGAAGTTACCACCTCAATTTTTCGCGTGGAAGGATGATATCTCAGTCATAGTTCATTGTTTTGAACCTAGGGTGTATTTGTCTCAGTATTGCCTGCGATTAGATGTCGATTCTTATTCTCATCGATCCCTATCAGATATGGGTGAGGCTGAACGCAGGCTCAAGGGTGAGCTACCTTTGGTGAGGACGAGTGATGATCCTGGCTCTCGTGCATTTACGCATTTCATGCTGGCAAAATCGTTGGTAGGTAAAAACCCCGCCAACGGATCACAGGAAGGTAAATGGCCACCACCGAATGTACCAGCAAAGTCTCGGGTAGATCGTTCTGCCGTCTGTGATCAGTCTTCTACAGCTACATGGGGCCGGCCCGAAGATCGTTCTCAAATTAATGAGCAATCTTTTCGAATTAGATTCTGGTTAGAGATGAATGGCCAGGTACGAATGGGAGAAGATATCCAAACATGGTCAACTCTTGACTTTGGATTATACACACCGACAGAGGATGAGCCTTTCAGAGGTATTTTTGTAAGTTTATATAATTTTCATTTTCATTTTCTCAATTCATTTTGACCCTGGACTTTGATATCAATGCTCGCAACAATCGATCGAAAAGTTTGTTTATCCCATTAAATCTCTCAATATCCTACCCTATCCCGCCAGCTTTCATTACCTTTTCTGAGTCTTTATCTATCTACACCTTATAACCCATTTATCATGTCTTATCAATGAAAGATTGGCCAGGGTTTCTAACACTCCGGAATTTCGAATTCCCCAAGAACGAGAGATTCTTGATTTTCAAACTTATTTCATATCTTCGATTTGATCTAGGACACTAAATCCGTCTAGAACAAATCTACCTGGAATTATTCAAGTAGTATCAAGAATTCATAGTTTCACGAATATTGAAAGCTTCAATTCCGACTATAGATACGCTAGGTCTAGCAAATTATCATTCAGGAAACATCTCTCTAATTACCTGCTGACTCAAATCACAATTCTAGGTCGGGGATTATTCAGGTCATGGTTGCGAATATTTACTATTAGATCAACGAGATGGATTTCAGAAAAACGAGGAACCAAATATATTGGAGCGAAAAGACGAAACACCTGAAGTGTGGGAAGCAAAGAAAAGACATGCAAGAATTTACAAAGGCTCTCTGTGCGCTATTAAATTGACTGGGGATCCAAACATACCTCGAGGTCAAATTTCATGGATCGCTGATGATATTAGTGACAAGAGCTTAGTTCGTCATGGGGAGCAGGCGTGGCCTGGTGCAAGAATCGTAAAGAGTCGTGGCCAAATTGCTAATCAAGGATATCGGAATTGTATTTGTTTCCCCCTTCAAGAATTATATGGGGTTTCATACTGACTGATAATAGCTAAATTCATTGAAACGGAACTCATAATGATATCTCATGATGTATTGGCACAACACTGGTTGCCTTTCGGGCATATATCATTCTTTCACCGAGTTAACATTGATGATTTTATTAAACCAGGAATGGGGGAATCAACAAATTGAGAATAAATGAGGAAGAGATTCTAACAATTTGGAAGATGGAAGCAGAAGATTTTTATTGATCAATATTAATACATAGGCACGTAATGGACGGAGAATGGCACAACAGATTGAAACATTAAGCACGGCATTTAGGGAAGGCTGGATGAAGTTTGAAGGAGTATTTGATTGTCAAATTTGAATGGGACATTGAAAGCTATAGCCTGAAGGAGGGATTCATCATCAGATTTGAATTGGGGGATATCGAAGAGTGTTGATTGACAAATCTGATTGATCAAAGGTACCAGGCCTATATTCGATTCATTTGGTGTGCGATGATTTCATCCCATGGCAGGAGTTTTAGGACATGATGCATTCATTATAGGATGGGAGGATTGGTATTCTTATTTAGGTTTATTTCACTTTTCATTTCTTTGTATACCGGTTGATACTTAGCTTTTTTAAATAATTATATTCTATTATAAATAATCATAGCTATAAATGTAATTATCTTTCTTTTATTATTCGCAGAAGTGAATCTTAAAACTACTCTGTAAGTTCCTTGATTAATCAGATCTCGTCAACAACACTTTATCTATTACCCCACATAAGCCGTCAACCAAATCTCAACAATCCCTCAACCTTCCACCTTCCAAAACCCCACCCCGCTCCCCACCTAATGCAAAACAAACCACCCTAAATCACAAAATACCTCAAACAGGATCGGATCCGTGGTGTAGTGGTTATCACGTCCGCCTTACAATTTAATTCTATTCTACAAAAAAATAGTATCGATTCTATCGCGGCAGGTCCCCGGTTCGACCCCGGGCGGATTCAGTTTTTTTGGGTTTATTGGGGTTTTTTGGGGAGCGGGTTGGGGAAGTTGGGAGGATTTTTGGTGGGGAAGTGTGGATGTAGGATTGGAGGTTATATATCCGAGATTTATCCGTTATAAAGCGATATTCTTTTTGCTGGGGGAGTATATGTAAGTAAATACCTAGTGGCTTGCTGCGTTCTTTTCCTTTTGTACTTACACAGATAGGTCTTTGTCCAAGGATAAGGAATGATTGTTGTGTTTATGGGTGAGAATAAATGTTGGTTGGTTGAATTATATATATTTATACTAATTACTGGATGTTTTCATTCATTCTGTTTTTTTCTAATGGATAAGAGGAGTCTAGTGGCTTTGAGGAGTAACGAGTAACGAGGAACTAGTACGAAATATTTGCTTGAGAGGCTGGAGTCCTCTTTCTTTTTTTGGAGGGGGACTCGGTTGGTCTTGTGGGTTTCTTTCTGATATGTGGGTTGTGAGAGGGGGAATGGGGGATGGAGTTAGGTGGGTGTTCTGGGGGAGGTAGTGATGGGGGTTTTTATTATTTGGAGTGGGAGATTGGATGGAAAATTTTCTGTCCATTTATATGGTTTGGGCTGTTCATATGATTTGAATGTTCTAAATGCTTGAATATTCAGACTGATGTTATTGTATAAATTCACCTGACAAAACCCGAAGCTTTCATTGTTGGATTGCAGTGCAGACTATTGAACATATATCAAAGTGACCTGGATAGTATTTTTCTGGTACCCTTAGTGGGAGCAGTAAATGGTTTCTTGGTCATGTCTGCCAGTGCAATTTGTTTATTATTGGAGGCAAATATGAAATATTTTGCACTGGTGCTTCAATGCTGGCCCATCTCCAACTTGGAGCCACGTATTCTACGTCTCTGATTTGTTTTCCCTGCGGGGTGGTACGTCCATTAAAGGTGATCCAAGTCATTTGATATAATATGTTCACATCCCATAATCCCGCAAGGTATTTCTTCGACATCATGTTGGCCAGCTCCTGGGCGATAGGTGGAACAGCAATGAGTTTGTCAGTGTGTTTCGTTAACTTGCAAAGTGTGTAAGATGTTATTGTGGATTGCCATCGCGTCTCAAAGTTTTTTGAGTCGACTCCATAATTGCTCATTAGTCCACGATTGGCCACTAGTAGTTTGTTTCAATGCGGTGGTTTCCCGTACAGAATTTAAGGTTCTTCGCAGACCTGATCCTTCGATACCTCCCCATTCAGGCTGTTCACCATAAGTGTCCTCATCACAGGCCCAGTACACACTGTTTTTGGTGAAAGCGAGGGTTCGTCGAGCAAGATTTCGTTCTTGATATACCCATGCTCGTGTGAATAATGATGCATTTGATGCAGTACTACCTGGTATATCAGAACAGAAGTTCCAAAGAAATTTCGCTTTACCACGAAGTAAGCTGCACTGTTGACCATTAGCGTTTTGTGTTTTGTAGCCATGATCAAGAATAGACCCTAAGGAAGCTAGAAATACTTCGCATGCATACTGTTCTTCAGGTATTGAGAGTCTCGTTTTTTGTCATTTGCCTAATAAATATGTGTACATGATGCTCTTCCTATATAAATTTGAGGTCCTTTCGAAAGTTCGTATAGGTGGTATCACTCCGGCCACGGATCGGACTAGTTTATTCCAGATTTAATACCCAACGTACCTATATATAGCTGGAGCCAGGCTGCATCTTTAGAAACAAGAAATAACCACTTATCTTACATAATCTCTTATCGGAAATAGCACTATAAACAGTATCCTCAGTAATTAGGGATCCATTTAATGTACTGCACCGCCGTATAGATAGGATAGCCTCTATTTATATTCAGCACCTCGGCACAGCTTCATCCCAATACCTTCTAAACCCTCCACCCAAGTTAATTAACACATTCACCACTAACTGCTGTGATCTTCTAACGACAGGTACATATGAGTTTCCAATCACAACCCTTGGTGTTTTAATACTCATTACTGCCAATACATTCTGTGACGCAAATTACAGGATGACGTCGCACAGCAAAGCGGAACAGAAGGAGCCTACAACGGAGCTTCCGACGACGGACAGTGAATCTGCTGTGGAAGACGATTCAGGCAGCGAGATGGACGAGGAGGAGATAAAGAAGTGGTATTCGAACACATACGAACGCGGCTCGAGAAATCCCATGAAGGAGCCTCTCACAGCACCTTGGGGTCTGCCAATCAGCGATGCAAATGTGGAAAAGATCAAAGTCGGGTTTAGATCTCGTAGCATGGACGACAAATGGGACATGCTGATCGAAGATCCAGACGAAAATGGCAACATATCTCTCCACATCCTTCGAAGCTGGTTACAGGAGGAGTGCTACATACTTCACATTATTCCGAAACCAAGCAACGATGATGACGGGAGTGCAAAGATCCAAGGCATCACCTGGGAAGGGAATAAGTCGGGGTTGCAATGCAATGCAGAGCAGGCCAAAAAGGAAGCCGTGATTCTATCCAGAATGCTCCTCCACTGCGAGTTTGAGACACTCCCGCACTACCCGTCCTCGATGTTATGGAATTTTAGTGCTTATAAAAAGCTGAACGCGGAATAGGTTACTAGCCCCCCTCCCCGCACCCAACCAAAAGGCCATCCAGCAAGTGCAGAGGAGTTCTATCATATTAGGGTTGTTTTCCAGTTCCTTTAGCTAAGATGGTAGTCAATCTTCCCTGATATATTATAGCCTGTTTTTACTGCCTATCTTGTCCAAGAACCTGATAACTCATTGAACGCCTGAGCGGGTTTCAAGAGCCTCACGTGATCCGCCTTCGGCCCTGCTCTGTGACAACTCACCCTTCTCTGGGGTTTTGTCCGCAACAAACATGAAAGTACACACCCTGGAATGCGAATAACCTGAATAGCTAAGTTTTGAATAGTAATATACCATGATCATCTTATCAATCATACGATCGATAAGGAATTGAAATACCTAGAATTTAGGAGGAAAAGCACGTGCTCTGTAGCCTGTAGGCTTGCGTAGATCACGACGGTTTCCGTGACACTAAATTAGGACTAGCCAGTTTCCTGAAGCAGCTACAGAGGTTGCATGTCTAAATCTTTTGCCTTTCTTCTCCATAGGCAATCAGACAGACCTGAGGAATTGATAAGTTATATCAGAAGCCCATTCTTTCTCTCGCTCGCTTTTCCATGCTCTCTCAAGTGAAGAAGAATCGGTGGAAAAGTCGTCCAAATCGTCTAGGAATACATTTCCGCCAAGTGGCAGTTAATATATTCTCATCTATGTCAAAATCGCATCTTCCAAAGGATGACTTCAATCCAGTCACTTAATTCTTGCTTTTCCAAGATCGGTTTCATCTTTCTTCAACTTTTCAAGATGTAGGTGTTTAGCGTTCAATTTAATTCACATTTTTAAAACTCATATTCATATATTTATATACATATTCACACATATAAAACTAGGCATAATGTTTTTAAGGAAAATACTCTTATATTCTATGAAATCTGATCTAATCTGATCGGACCAGCCAATCTAATATTCTTCCTTGCTCAATTGTTCGATTCTGATGGGCAGTATGGGTACAGGGGTATATAGTTCTTCGTCTGGAAAACAACCTTATTACTCATATTCTAGAAAATCTGATTTAATTGGTCCAGCCAATCTAAAAATATTCTTTTCTCAACTGCTGGACTCTTTTATGACAGAATGAGTTATGAAGGCGTGGTGCTTCGTAAAAAAAGCCCTGCTCGTCAAAAAAGTCCTCCATCTCGAAGAAATCGTCATCGTCAAACTGAAGTTTGTCCGTCGTCGAGCTCCCCGTGATGGATTCATGGAGATATTCGTCCGATAGGGCTGAGACTTCTGAAACATCTGAAGTTTTCTCATAATCTGAGTCGCCATCGTCTTCGAATACTGATACCTCTTCAGTAGCATCTGCATCAGTCTTATTCGTGATTGGTATATCTCTCATTGACCTGCTAACCACTTTCATCAGATTGTACTTTTTAGTTGTCTCATCTTCCTCCTCATACTCCTCTTCAGTAGCATCTGCATCAGTCTTATTCGTGATTGGTATATCTCTCATTGACCTGCTAACCGCTTTCATCAGATTGTACTTTTTAGTTGTCTCATCTTCCTCCTCATACTCCTCTTCAGTAGCATCTGCATCAGTCTTATTCGTGATTGATATATTTCTCATTGACCTGCTAACCGCTTTCATCAGATTGTACATTTTAGTTGTCTCATCTTCCTCCTCAGACTCCTCCTCATTCTCGTCCTCATTCTCCTCATACTTTTCCTCATACTCCTCATACTTTTCCTCATACTCCTCATACTTTTCCTTATACTCCTCATAATACTCTTCCTCATACTCCTCATCTGAGTTTGGGGTTGAATCTAAGTTTGGGGTTGATTCTAAGTTTGGGGTTGATTCTAAGTTTAGGGTTGAAACTAAGTCTGTTGTTGAATCTAAGTTTGGGGTTGAAGCTGAGTCTGTTGAATGAGAAGCCACTTCCCTTGCGGCATCCTTCCTATCACAATGCTCGCATTGCAATTCAGCTATAATAAGGTTTTCATGTGCCCTGTAGCGTCTGCAAAAAATAGGATGCCCGCGGGTATAATAGTTGGATTCACACGGAATACCTTCGGTGGTGAGCTTCTTCCTATTATTACAGTTTGGACACCATTCATAGGTGCAGATCCAGTTACACATGGTGTATATATTTGGTGGGTTGATCTAAAGTTTCTTGAATGGCTTTTTGGTTGCCAATCGTTGAATTGGTGAGTGAGGGTTTGGGAGTGTGGACCCTGCCAAACTAATGCTTGAAAGAAACTGTTGTTCTGTTTTTGTTTCTCTCCTTACCTTCACCTGTCTACTGGCTTGGAATACGATCGAGGACCTAAACATACAAATTCAAGATCTTCAACCTAATTGATCTACCTAGTATATAATTCCAAATCCTTTGTCAAAACTAAAAATAAAGCTATTGTTCCCAACAACAAAACAACATAA